AATCAGGATGAGGTTTGATTTCTTATCTTGCGGTGTCATTGATTTATTTGGGTCATAACGGATTCTTTTTGATAGCCTTAAGGTCAGTGCATTTCTTTTTGGGTTTTTTTTTTTCAAAGTTTGCTGAACTCTTCTATCTCATGTTAAGTGACATTTCAGTGATAAATGTGTTTAAGGATAAGGTTATGGGAAATCCTAAAGATATCGTCTGCATCCTCAGTCGTTAGTAACGTACTGATCTTTAATTGTCGTTGCTTCATTTGAATCGTTAAGTATCGAAAATTGTTATGCCCATTTTTTACGAGAAATTATTTTATTTAAAAAAAGTGGAGTTTAAAAGCTCCTTATCTATAACTTGAAGGTAATTGTTCAAGATTTCCAAATCAAAACAAAAATTGAATATACAATTAATGTTTTAAATCAGGACTCTTTAGATCCGTTAGATTTTCTTTACCATAGATAGCTTAGATTTAGTTTCGCTGACTCAACGTGAAATTTATGTGAAAAAAAGACCGGCATCCTAGAGATGCTGTTTTGAATGCTTGACACATTTCAAACTATCAACCTTCTATCTAACTAGGCACTATGGCGGATCTACCCAAAATGTTAAAATATAAAGAATTACTTTAACACCATTTCATATAGGTACTTAGTTTCTTTTTTGCTTCCGAAGTAATTATCGTAATATATAACTACAAAAAAAAAATCTTGTGGGCTGAAGCTCCCTACCCCCCAAAAATTAAGTCCTGGATCCGTTAGTGGTTTGATGTGGTTGATTGGAAGGAATTCCAAACTATATATTTTTTTTTCAAAATAAGCTTTAGATCCTTTTGGAGAAAAAAAATAAATAAAATGGACAGTTACTTTCGGTCTGCGGAACATAGTAGAAGCCATCTTTACCTTTCTAAAGTAACTTTGTTCTCTGTCTGTCGGTTTTTAAAACGTTTCCTTTTTTTAAGTTAAAATTTCTGTAGCAGCGTTTTTCACTTTTTGTGGAGAGTGAATTAGATTGAGCCCATGTGTAACGCTCGGGTAAAGTCGGCTGGATCGATTAATTGAAGTTTTTGCATATGGCTTGAAATATCTTAAAAAACAAAATTCGGACCCTGCATATTGTTAGCGAGGCAAATGTTCACCATTTCATCTTCTTTGTAATTTGCTATTATTCAATATTGTATCTTCGCCGTGTTAGAGAGGCGAAAAAGAAAAAATACTTTCGAAAAGCAAATGATAGCGAGTTTTATGAAAGATATGTATTAAAATATCTCAAAAATTAAAAATCGGTCCTGCATACTGTAAAGCAGGGAAATTTTCAGTATTTCATCCTCTTTATAATGAGCTAATATTTATAAATATATTTTTCATATTATTAATCCCACCTTGTTTCACTTCTATCGTGTGATCTAAATGGTTTAGACTAAAGCACACATCTTTATTTTTTTTTCTTATGTTTTTTTTTTATTAAAACAAACTGATATCCAAAATAACATATTGTTTTGGAATTCGGAATTCTCTGATAATTTTTAAAACATGCTAACAAAGTCAATTCATTAAAGTCATGTGTCATGTGTTGGATCTATTTAGCTGCTTCTGTTTCTGATTCGACGGCAAATCAAATTCTTCGTGACGTTAGTTTCTTTCAGATTGTTAATCAAATGAATCGTTTCTTCAGTTTATCAATTAAAAAAAAAATTAATCCATATCTTCAACTAACCTAATTATTTGGTTTTCAACACTATTTTTCCTTTTCGCTTCCCTAACACGGCGCCGCGTTAAGATTCAATTTCGAATTATAGCCTGTTATAGAGAGGATGAAATGCTGAACAATTTCCTCGCTTACAGTATGCAGGCCCGATTTATAGTTTCTGAGATATTTTAATCCATATGTAAAAATATTGTAATTAGTTTATTCTAGTTTACTTTTCTTGAACGTTACTGCTGAACGAAATCTAATGGATCAATCTAATTCACTCTCCTCAAAAAAGTACAAAACGCGGCTAAAAAGAAGTCTTCACTTCAAAAAAGTTTTCTAAGTTTTGGACCTGAAAATTGTTCGAGACTTCATTTTTTAACCCATGTTCATAGGATTTTTTTGTTTTATCGCCTTGTATAATATGCACTGTAGTAGCTTTATTAGAGGTTGAATGTCCTCCAGAATGTTCTTTCGACCCCAAACTCGCTCCACGACAAATAACAGCAATTTTATTCCACAGGTTTAACCTAGATCTTTCCTAGATTCCTATATATGTAAATAAAATTATGACTTCAAGATTTATGTAAGTATCTTATAATCAGAGCTTTGGTTTACGTAAACTATACTGAGGTCTTACTATTAGGCTTGACTTCAAATTATAATTTATTTTTTTTGTTTTCATAGGAATCTGTTTTCAGCACTTGTTATATTGATAAATGCTATAATTTTATGAAGATTTTATGAACCGAGGTTGATGTTAGAAGAGACCATGGAATGGAATCGCCCTCCAACAGTTGACAGTTGGTTCCAAGAGATGCCTATTGTATTTGTTCCATTCTCTCCCTTCGCTCGATATCTCCGCCTGATGTGTGGACAATCATTCGCTCTATTTAAAAGCTCAACAGGGCCCATTCATTGCATAATTAAATTGTCAGTCGTTGATTTCAATCATTCTGCAATACAACGTGAATATTCTGGAATGACGACCTATGATATGCTACATGAAATCTACAATAGTTGTAGTGCTACTACTTCCTAGTTTAAAGAAGATGATTTCTTATAGTCTCACTTGTTTTAAGGTTCCACCTCGTATCAATAGTCAAGATAGGAGATTCAATGCTGAGGATCTCTTGAAGAGGGATAAGTGGTAAATAATTTAATACGAGAAGGCAGGATGTCGTAGGTTTGCCACGTAGGCTGCTGAACTTAAAATTCCAGAACGCCCAATGACAACAACATAATTAAAAATGTAACTGTTCTTCAACAATTAGGTGCATTTACTAAACTAATAAGCTTTAAGTTCTTGTATTATATATGGTTGTGTATGGTTGTATTATTATATATACTTAACGAAAAGTTTATATATAATTAGTTTTGATTAATGGAGTTTTGCAGAGATCTGAGGTAGGTCTGGTGAATATGGAGGGTGTATTAAAAGATTCCATCCAAAGATTTATAATTTATTGCGAGTGACGAATGAGGTGTGGGACCTTGTGTACCTTTGTAGAAAACAACACCTTTCCAATCAACCAGTTGTTTTTGTTTTTTTGAATTGATTGATCCCATTTCGTTAATTGTAATTGTTGTCAATAACGGCATCATTGATGTCACGACATTTCCTCTAAGAAATTTGGCAAACCAATTTTGATACTTGATCCGTGGGTTCGATTCCTAATAAATTCCCATAAACATTGCAAACGTTTTCTGAGCTAATGCAGCACGCTTACTTTTTCTAAAACAATGTGTGTCATCTGCCGATTTAATAAATGATATTTTCTTCCGTATCCACAGTGCTATAACAAACGCAGTGCCAATCTAATTTCATCGTGCGTTTACAGAAATGGTTGTTGACATGTTACAAATAGGATAAAGAATCCACGTAAGCGATTAATTCGTCAGATGAGATTCGAACGATTCTGACATAAAAGAAAATAGAAAAACCAGGAAAGACATTTACCAACCCAATTCATACAAGCATTCTGGGTGTTTCCTCTACATGTTGCTGGTAGACGGACGACCTATCATGTCCATTGGTTTGATCTTATGTTTAAGGTTTGGCTGCTCTTTGAGATGGTGGAACACGGCGTTATTTTAGTTGTAATCTGACGTTATAAAATTTTAATTTATGTTCCTTTTAATTTTAATTTATGTACAATAGGATATCAATGAGTTTTCTCACTACTGTAGAAGAAAGCCAGTCTTCGAAACTAAACAAATCTACTATTTTGCTAGATGAGTATGATTAAACAAAAATTATTATTACCGAAATATTCCTTCATCGATGCTATAATAACATCAGGATATACTTATAGTCCTGGAGCCAGGGCCCAAAAATCGATCTCATCGTAGGCGAAGCTTTGAATGTTAATTACAAATTGTATATTATTCTAAGTAAAATGGACCTTGTCCACCATTCCAGAGCCGCTGCTTTCAATAATGGCGGCTGATTTAAAGAATGCCAGGCCAATAACTTGAGGATCGAAACGAGAAATTAATTGCAAAAAAAGTGTGAAAAGTTTTAATTTTTTTAACTATTATATATGGGTTTAGGCCTGCAAAAAACGAAATTGCTGACGCGGACCACCAAGGGAAAACGCGAGACCGAGACGAGTCTTGGTCTTGCAAACTCAGTCTTGGTCTAGGTCTTGCGCAAGGCTCTCGTAACAGTCTTGCAGTTACCTATTAGCTTATTAGTAGAGAGATATTACTGTATTTTTTTTTATAGGAGAAACCTAACGAAGTCTGAATGAAAAATTAAAAGAGTTAAATGCAAAAGTATATTGGTTATGCCAATTCTTTACATATAGTAATTAATATTGTCAAGTATTATTAACTATTTTGCCTCAATTTGTATTCAAAAAATCGATTTTTTTTACCAGAGTTGGTCTTGGTTTTGCAACAGATAGGCGTTGTTGGTCATGGTCTTGCAAATTGCAAGACCAAGACCAATTATGGGCAACACTAGCTTCTACTGAATATTAACATTTTTAATGTAAATGACTTATTCTGGACTAAAGCGGTGTGATCTCCCGATGACTATAAATTGGTAATGTATGTGCGATTTTCAATATTTCAACAGTATAGGTGTTATTATATTAGTGTAAGCTGCTTTGTACCTGACATAACGTACACGCATAACACTACTAGAAAGATATTAATTGGAAATTATTTGTCAGATAAATCATGAGCAGTACCTTGACCCGAACGGCTGCGAAGGATAAAATTTACCACTGACCTGGTAGATGCTTACGTTTCCACTTCGGCGGCATCTTGGCACGCACTGTGAGGTCACCTCGACCTCTTTCCCTCAGGGCACAGCCTCAGAGTCACGATCTGTTGGCTGCCCTACCGTTATCGTGTCCGTCCGAAGGAACTTTGTCCGAAGAGAAATGTCTCTTAGTTCTATGAGAAGAGGTTCTGAGCTTGGTTGCCTAAACACTCAAGATAACTCCTCTTTAACGACTGTTTACTGCACACAGGTTGAACAACACCCACTGGTTAAACTAAGAGTATTTAAACGATGTTTTGCTGATTCTTTGTTTTGATTGCGAATTGTGCATCTGGCGCCTAATATGCAAAACGTAAAAACCTTTTTATTCACTATTAATACTATTTCAAACAATTTATTATTATCCAAATGAAAAACAAAACATTTTTAATTATTTATCTTGAGTAAAAGTAAATTTTACAGCAATCTTCCAAACTTGGTCATGTTGAAAACTAAAACACCTGCAAACAGGTGTCTCGGTTGCCCCAGGTACATGAAATCTCATAAGAATCGGTCCCCCTCCCTCTTTCTCGGCTAACCAAACTGCTCTTCAGAAACCTGCTGTTAGAAGAAAAGTCCAATAGATATTTTTGCATTAAGTTCTGTGTCGTATATTTAATATATTTCTCTCTGAAAACGATGTAATGATTCTATACTTCTTTAGATTTCACGAATTAAAATTTTATATATATTCCCCTAAGATGCTATGTAATGATTTCATTAGCGCTTAAAGGAAATTAAGCTTCTATTATTATTGTTATTTAGTTTATATATTAGTAGACATTTCGGTAAATCCTGACTTCAGGTTTTCATCGTAAACATGGTAGTAACTTTTATACATAATCAATACCAACGGCGGATCAAGACAAGAATAACATAAAAAAAAAATTCAACTTAGAGGTCATAAATTAATTTTTTTTCTCTCTCGATTTATGGGTTACTCGAGCCTCTGACTTAAAAAATCATTTAGTTACGAGATTTTAAAATTCCGCTAGTCCAACTCTGATCAACACTATTTATGATATTCATATTTTTCTCTGCTAGAATATTGTTATAGATTAAAATTCTTATTATATATATATATATATATATATATATATATATATATATATATACTATTCAGTCACTTATTAAAATAGTTCATAGTGTCTTAAGTGCGGAAATCATATTTTAGGAAAAACGCATCTCTAAAAGTATTATTGCTCGTGTAATTTTATATTTGTTAGTATTTCAAGAATCACTTAAACAGCATTTCATTTCATATAGGTGGTCAGTTCCTTTTTTTTTCTTAAAAAGTAATCATCGTTATATACATATTTATAAACTTTTCGGAATAAAGCCTCCAAAATTAAATCGTGTATCCGATTGTATCATTATATATAATATAGTAAATAAACAATTGGAGAGGAGAAGCCAAATTCGCTTCAAACTTCGGTAAAATTATAAGAGAAATTGATGGTAATAAATACTATATTATTGGCACTAGTATTATTTTAAAAAGGAAGGAGATGGTCCGGGGTTGCGATCATAAATAGGCTAAATAGTGGTAAACTATTTTATTGAAAGCCTTCAATAAAATAAAAAGCCTAAAATAAAATAAAAATAAAATCCTAATAAAAATAGTAATAAAAGTTCTAATATAGTATAAAATAAAATAGTAATAAAAAATCCTAATAAAATCAATAAAAAGCCTTTGGCTTTCAATAAAATAGTTTATCACTATTTAGCCTATTTATGACCGCAATCCCGGACCATCTCCTTCCTTTAAATGCAACGGTCAACTATTAAATATTCAAAAGTATTATTTTACTCTTTAAATATAATAATATAGATATAATTAATATAATAAGATAAAGTGCGTTGATGTGGTTGTTTGTTCTGTTCTATTTTGTTTTAAAAAAAAATAGATAGATACGTAAGTGCCCTCCTTCCAGCCGCTTCTATTTCCGAAAACAATTATTACTTTATTGTTAAGAAATAATTTTTAATGTATATGAGTGCTTAGTTGACCCGTTTTTATACTGACAAATCCATTTGGAATATAAAATTTCACTAGTTTATCTGCTCTTCCTTGATTAAGCAGATTCAAGAATCAGTTTTGAGAAGCAAAAATGTTAAAAGGTGAAGACTAAAATTAATAATACTGTGAATGAAACTCCATCGAGTAAGGCCGGAACCAGGACATCTCGGGGGGAGCAAGTTAAATTTCACCGCCCCTTTTCTCACTTCCTCCCCTCCCCAATAAACGTAAACAACATTTCAGGTTATGTTCCGAAAGAAATTCACCATCTGATAACATGAACTCATTTTACTGAGTTAAGATAAAATCAAACATATGCAGATATTTATTTTGTATTACAAGAAAATAAAAATTTTAATGTGTTAGCCTCTCACTGCCGCTTGGGGCAAGTACCTTCTTGGTTCCCTCCCTCTCTGAAGTTCCGGCCCTGGCTCGGGGTATCTGTTGGAAGAGGAAGAAGGAGCGATGTTTCATTTTGCGTTCATTCACAATGAAGCTATACTTGGAGTTTAGAACTACTTTATCTTGATTACACAAAAAAAGTAAAGAAACAAATAAGGATTTCATATTACCCATACCTCAAGTCAAAGGCACCAATTTGACTGTTGGTCATAGGAGAAATTGAAAGTCTTTGACACGTAGCACAGAGTACGATATTTTTTTTTAATTTTCTGTTCTGTATTCCATGTAACCATCTCTTCTTATATTGATTTCTATAGTTACTGTCCACCCCACGAACATTATTTAGCTTGTCATATGGTTTATATATATATATATATATATATATATATATATATATATATATATATATATATATATATATATATTTATGAAATGACCCAATATCGTCATATGGTCGGACTGTTGACATTTCCCTCCGACTGCCTTAACCTCTCCCTCCCACTCGAAATTTCAACACATTAATTTATGGCAGAATGTCATCGGGGAGCGGTGAGAGGGCCGATTGGATTTACAGTTGCTCAGCGATAGTTGGTGCCAGGTGTTCCTCAAGGACCCGACCATGACCTAATCCAACTCCTCGCGGTACAAGGACATCGGACGTCTTCCAGATTGGACTTTAGTCACACCTGACCGGCATAACGTCGAGGGGCGACCTTACGTTGGCGCTGCCGAGTCTGGGCTTCGATCTTGTATGAAGTAAAAGTGTGAAAGGGACAATGCCGTGTGGCATTGATGGTGGAATATTGTGTGACAAAAGCCAGGATACCTCAATAAGCGAGTATATAGTCACTGAACCGTCGAGCAAAACGTCGCCTTTAAGCTGAAACTTTAAAAGGCAATTTTTAGACCAAGTGCTAGAAAAAACCTATAGATCAAATATTACAGATCAAAAAAACGCGCCAATGCTTCACAACAATACTCGGTTGTGTCATAAATTTCAGATTGTGGAACAGCTATCCAGCCAGCTTGAATAAATCAAAGAGCTTTTATTATTACTATTTTAAAATAATTAATATTAAAATGTCTACCCTCACTTATAAGAAAGCTCCTGGGTCGGTTATTTTCTTGAAGTTATATTATTTTTGAATTATGATTAAATGATCAATGCCAGGATAATATATATATATCCGAATTAATAAAATATTCGGCTGATTCCATCTATTTTTTTAAATTATAGTATTTAGTTTATTTAACCTAACGGATACGAAGTTAAAGGCCATAGATGGAATCAGCCGAATATTTTATCAATTTGGATAGCATGTGAATTGTAGTATTATATAGAAGAAAAGAAAAGAAAATTATATTTTATTCTGGGATATTTAATCCCCTAAGAATAAGTACAATGATCATTCGTCCACCATTAGAAGACGATAGAGAAATAATTTATTAACATTGTTATCTAATCCTTAAATTCAAAATAACAGAGCACAAGTGAACATATTGAATTGTAGATAAAACACAATGTCCTGTTTAAAAAAAAAGTCTTTAAACGTAACATTATAAAACTCCAATAAAAAAGAATTATAACAATTCTTCCATATATATTGCCGCTCTGAGGCGAGGCGTCTGAAAAGAAGATGGCCTCGGGACCTTCTAATATACAACTTTAATTTATTTTATTTTATTTTATTTATTGTACATAGAATGTGAATGTAATCTGAGAACACTATTATAAATGTCATTTAGACAGATTGTAATATTATTCAATAAGTAAGTTAAAAAAAAAAATATATTGAGTTCTACCAATGGGTAGTTTCTCTTCATGTTGTACATGTCATGTTACCAATGCCACATTTACTTGTTGTATTTTTCATGTATATGTATATATATTTCATGTATGAATACAATTGTAAATTTCATTAAAATAAATAAATAAATATATATATATATATTGCATTGATGTATTTATTTGTCTGTTGTTCTTCGAAACAACACCACAACACATACTAAAAAAAATAAAGGAAGATGACACCAAAATAATTATAACCTAAAATAAATTGAATTTAAATAAATTTATTTATACTTGGATGGAACCGACAGAAAATAAACTCTACTCTGTAAGCCCTCTCAACCAATCAACCTCATTGTATTATTTAACAAAAGTTCTGCTTGTGAAAGTTTTCCTGAATCTTTCTAAGCCAGTTCTTTTTACTTTAGGGAAGTCTTCTCATACTTTTTTGTTTAAAACTCCTTTGTCAATAGTTAAGCACAATCAAGCATGAAAGAGGCTTTATCTGTTATACAATAGCTTGCAAGTGATTCTTTTATACTAATCCACTGATTTTTTGTTCTGTCAAAGATTTCTTCCGATATTCAAGATAAAAAAAATATATTATTTTTTCAAAATCAATAATAATAAATAAATAAAATAATTCATGGTGTGCACAAATCGGAAGATGATTTTCCTAAAGTTCAGAGAATACATATACACATTTTTATTTTATTTATTCATTGTTAACCCGTACAATACATGTCTTAAGGAATAGAAATTGCGTAAACAAATGTTTAAAAAATCATAGATTTTTCATATTATTTGATTTTTTTAAAAACTTGTTTATTGAAAAATATTACAATCTGTCTCGAAGAACATTAATCATTAAATTAATCATAGAAAGTGGAGTAGCTCAGTGCTACGGCATTGATCTTTCATTGTTGAAAGTCTCATCTTCGAATCCCGGTTCATGGCAGAAAATCATTTATTCGGTTTCATAAGCCGTGAGGCGACTCTGGAATCAGACGACCCTCCTAGGGCACATCCAGGCTCTATAAAGTGGGTACCTTAATTAAACATAATTAGTTATGGGGACCAAGGCAAGACGGTTGAGCGTGATCTAAGTCAAATCACGTCCTTGCACAACCGTTGAATATGAAACAGTACTTTCCCTAAATAGTACTGAACTAAAGATCCTTCAGGGGTTGTAGCCATACTGTTTTTTTTAATTAATCATGAAATTACTTCTATTGCATCTAGGATAATATTATTACCGTGCATTTTTCGGTCTTTTAACCAACAAGAGAAATTACCGTACAATTCTCAGTTCTAAAGAAATTCCCTGTCGCTCGACGGCTTAGCCTGCAGTAATATAATATAATCTTTACTAAAAATTATTTATTACATTTTATTGGTATAATAATAATACAATCAAGGGCATTGGGTATTAAGGCTCTATGTTTACATTCATACTATTATATACAAAAAAAATTTAAAATAATGTTGTCATTTTCAGAATTCATACATAAAGTCGAGAAAAAGGAATTTAGCTTGACAAAATATCCATGGTTTTAATTAGCTCCATAAAATGAGTACTTGATTTTATTAACATTTTCCAGGTTATAACAGGCAAGCTGTTTAATCTAGTTATATGTTCTTAGTAAAAAAGCCACCTGTAATTTACCTATTAATAATGGATCATGATTCAAGGGAACAGTTGAGGCCTCGAATCGGATAAAGTTTAGCGAGAAGTCAATAAAGAGCACTAGGCTTTGAGTGGTTTCTATCAAATGTGGCAAATATCATTATATCGATTATAAAAGGCCTTGAACTTTGCTGATAATCGATATAGAAAAAAAGGAATTTCCACCTCCTATTCTACCTACTCCGATTTAAAGAAGAAAAAATGTACAACTCTAGGTACTACAAACTCTTAAATAACCGTTTGCTTTCCACTTGGATCGTTAGATAATTTGAGCACAAACTCGAGGAAAAAGGTCCCCAAAATATCGAGGTATTACAGGCCAAACAGCACAATATTTATATTGGCCAACTTTTTTTATCAATTTTATGATCAAATTATTTTACGATCCAAGTGGAAACCAAATGGGTATATAGAAGTTTTTAGTACCTAATTAAATAGACAAACTTTGCCGACCTCCTGATTCTAGACGCTTCAAGACCCCTCAATTCCAAAAATTTTCGTAATTAAAATAGTTGTAGGTTACGATGAGATGAAATTATTTACGAAGTTTCAGGCAGATGTTAATAATTTGATAAATAGGGGTCTGTACGGCTGACTATTGATGGAACTTGAGGGAAGGAAGGTTAAAGTGAGGAAACGGTGTTTCGGCTTTCAAAAAACTGATAGTCAAAACCATTGTACTTTCTTTTTTTTTTTTTTCTTATGTGCTTAGGAAACAATGGCCTTAAGTTTTTCATAAGTAAATATTTCCGTAAAATATTTGACCAAATTAGGGATGATTTGAGTTGAAAGGAAAATTCATATCGCGATGCTAGTGGAATAGCGTGAAGTGCACACGGTAAATGTAATGGAAGAGATAGCATCAGGGCGACTGAAGTTTCTGTATAAAGAACAAAGGAATCAAGATAAAAGTAACGACACGGAAACGAGTGAGGTCAGATAAACCAAGACGTAAATGAGAGGATGAGTGCAAAAAAACATCAATCGAGGAATTGATGTATTGATGTAATATTGATCATAAAGAAATATTTTTTTTTTTTGCCTAACTAATGGCATTCAAATTATCTGAAATGAATACTATATTGTATTATTCTTGATAGATTTCATAAAAAAAATATTTTATATAATTTTATAAAATATCAATTAGTCCTACGAAAATAATTTAAAAATAACGTATAGATCTATTATAGTAGGTTTCACCCTGTTCAATCATTTTCTAAAAATTGTTATAATAGTGATTTGAGCAAAATTTATATCCTGAACCGATCCTGCAAGTTCTTTAAGTCTGGTTGTAATTTATCTTATTATTTTTAAGTTCATTAAATTTTGTAATGCTTGATTTCAAAAGCTGACAATTTATCTGACAAATTTCAACTGAGAGATGTGTTTTTTTTATATGTACCTATGTTAAAAACAATATGGCGTCAAACTATTGAGCCAAAAACAAAAATCCATAATAATCTAACAACCGTTAGAAGGGCAGAACCGAGACTTAGATGGATTAGTGTTAGTTGTAGATTTCAGTTTTTACGGGTTTTGATATAAAGAACTGAGAACATTATTCAAATCATAGTTTTAAAAATTAGTTATTATTTGTTCTACAAGCGAAAAGAAATTAAATTAATTGTAAATTTATTAACTGACAGCATAATAAAATTAGTTCATTTCACCTAGTTATACAGAATGCTGTTATTTTCCTGAGACGTGACTTTTGATGTTCGAAGGTGTATCGATGAATTTTCATTCCTGCTGCAGCTTGCAGTTTTGATTTTTTTTTTTTTAAATAATTGTTTACAAAGAATGTAACAGACTTGTTTTGCTATCTCGATCGTTTTATTTTTTCCTGTCTCTTGTACGCCTACAATCTACAGAATCCCACTCATTGAACCCAGGTGGATTCTTGTAGTTCTGCATTTATATTTATATTTATATATCATTCAACGTGGCAGTTTGAACGAACCATATATATTATATCATTCAGTTGATCTGTTTCAAAATGAAGTTGATAAGTAGAATATAATACTAACCAGAATAAGGAATGATATTTTTAAAAGTAATAGTATTATTTAAAGATGGGAAAATCTGAATAACTGCAGGATGTCTATTTCAGTCGGGAATATGGTGGGATTTTGTTAGGTTAAAATTCATAGTAAATTTTGCGCAGTCTACAAAATTCTTATTTCTCTACTTTAATTCCTTGCTTCAATTTTCAGAAACTTGTTTCAACTATTTTTTATTTTTTTATTACCTGAATGTGATAATATTATAGAAAACATTGAAATTTAGGTTACAAAAAAAAAAAAAAAAGCTGTAC